GTTGACAGGGGTCGCCAGTCTCTATCTGGCACCGTTATTTTGGGGGTCGCGGGCTGAAAAGTTTGGGAACCCCTGGTCTAAGGGATAGTTAAAAGTAGATACCTGACATTTTGACCAATAAATAGAAGATATGTGGTGAAGGTTTAGGGTGTTGGGGTAGCGCCTCAAAATAAAAAAAATGTACACTGTTGAATGGTCTTTAAAATGTAGGTTTTAAAAAGAAAACTAATAACCAAGGAAGTATAATTCATTTCAACCTTTGCAGGGTGGAGTGGCTGAATCTGTACATTCAGTCCTTTTCAGTTTAATACAAAATACAGTTTCACTTAACGAGTCATTAAGAAGGAAAGAGGAAAAGGACGGTTAATATTACTTTATATCCCTTTTATTTAATTTCTTCAGACTCACCTGGGCAGTGAAGTTGTCAGCTCCCTTGGGTGGATCGTTCTTGCTGTCGCCAGCCACGAATCCACGGCGGATCTCTTTAATGGACACGTTCTTGACGTTAAACCCGACGTTGTCACCGGGCAAAGCCTCAGTCAGAGACTCGTGGTGCATCTCAACAGACTTCACCTCAGTGGTGAGCATAACAGGAGCAAAGGTGACGATCATACCAGGCTTCAGGGTACCGGTCTCAACCCGGCCCACGGGCACAGTTCCAATACCTGGGAGAGCAGACATTTTTTTTAAAATGGTCCTCTGTTCAATACAAAGAGAAAATAGTCTTAAAGGATTACTTTGCCAATTTTTGACCCGTTTTTGTATAGTTGCAATGCAGGCAATATATGCAAATGAACCGTGTTTGGCTTTCCTCCATGTTACTGTCGTCAGGGAGCTCTGGGCAGGGAGAGGTAAGCCAATCATATTTCCTTCCCCATTGCAACCCTACAAAGTAATCCATTAATTAGGAGAAGATTCATTGAAGTGTCAACTGCAATTTAAGTCTTTTGGGGCTGAGCTGCGGGAACTTAAGATTGCGGTCCATACCATGGAAAATGTACAAGTAGTTAAGATATCTGTGATAGTCCAAAGTTACCGCCAATTTTGTAGACGTCCTGCAGGGGCAGACGGAGGGGCTTGCCGGTGGGGCGGGATGGGGGCAGGATGGCATCGAGAGCCTCCAGCAGAGTGATTCCACTGCTATATCCCCACTCCTTACGCTCAACCTTCCATCCCTTGAACCATGTCATCTGAGGACAGATTCAAAAGAAAGATTTAGTTCCAAGTCTAATCCACCCTGTACACAAGTCAGGCACCTTAAAGTAACATTTCTCACCTTTTCACTGGCTTCCATCATGTTGTCTCCGTGCCATCCAGAGATGGGGACAAAGGCCACGGTGGCGGGGTTGAAGCCGATCTTCTTGATGTAAGTGCTCACTTCCTTGGCGATTTCTTCATAACGGGCCTGGCTGTAAGGGGGCTCGGTGGAGTCCCCTCTTGTTGTCTCCAATGGATTGTGCATTCAACACCGAGGGTCCAAAGCCCACCCTTCTTGATCCCGGCCCCCACATCACCCCCAGAGCCACAGCACACAGCCCGTCAGCCTGACACTATAGAGAAATGGGTCTTTATATTTTGAATATTTGGCACACTATGTTAAGACCAAATAATGGAATCTGTGTGTGTACCTTTTTCAAAAACTCATAACAACATGGCGCATAACCCTGTCGTGGTCTTTCGGCCTGCCGACGTGTGGCGACAGCAGACAGTTTCTGGGTTCCGTCCGTGTCAGTGTCTTTTGCGTGTCAGCTTGGTGTGTCCCCTACATTTAAAAGGCCCGACACACCAATGCTGACACCAACAAGATACTTCCACACAGCACGGACCTATTCGACGTGTCGTCCGCCTTCCGCTGTCTCTGGCGTCTTGGCCATTCGAGTGTCCGCACTGGAACATATCACCGCAGAAAGACCTTCAGCCCGAGCGGCCAAGAAGCACATATCGATCTGCGCATTTGCGTGAGTGCGCAATACTCTCCTTACCAGCATGGCCGGCTGGTAGTGGGTATTCGTATTTTTCAAGTATANGAGGACAGATTCAAAATAAATAATTAGTTCCAAGTCTAATCCAACCTGTACACAAGTCAAGCACCTTAAAGTAACATTTCTCACCTTTTCACTGGCTTCGGAAGCCAGTGAAAAGGTGAGAAATGTTACTTTAAGGTGCTTGACTTGTGTACAGGTTGGATTAGACTTGGAACTAATTATTTATTTTGAATCTGTCCTCAGATGACATGGTTCAAGGGATGGAAGGTTGAGCGTAAGGAGGGTAATGCCAGTGGAGTCACTCTGCTGGAGTCTCTCGATGCCATCCTCCCCCCGTCCCGCCCCACCGACAAGCCCCTCCGTCTGCCCCTGCAGGACGTCTACAAAATCGGCGGTATGAATGGAAAATTTTATTAGCAAAGGGAGTGCTGTAAGTTATAACTTCTTTTAAAGCTAGGTGACTTAACCCAATTATTTTACTCAGGTATTGGAACAGTACCTGTGGGTCGTGTTGAGACCGGTCTCCTGAAGCCCGGCATGGTCGTAACCTTTGCACCTGCTATGCTCACCACTGAGGTGAAGTCTGTGGAGATGCACCACGAGTCTCTCACTGAGGCTATGCCCGGTGACAATGTTGGTTTCAACATCAAGAACGTGTCCGTCAAGGAAATCCGTCGTGGATACGTGGCTGGCGACAGCAAGAACGACCCACCCAAGGGAGCCGACAACTTCAACGCCCAGGTTAGCATTTCACTTAAATGGCTTGATGGTCAAATAATGATAAAAATATATATATATTATATTTGCAATTTGGTAGAGCTCTAATGAAAATGTGTCCACAGGTCATCATCCTGAACCACCCTGGCCAGATCAACGCAGGTTACGCACCAGTGCTCGATTGCCACACAGCTCACATTGCCTGCAAGTTCACCGAGCTCATCGAAAAGATTGATCGTCGTTCTGGCAAGAAGATTGAGGATAGCCCCAAGTTTGTCAAGTCAGGAGACGCCGCCATTGTCAAAATGATCCCACAGAAGCCCATGGTTGTGGAGCCCTTCTCCAGCTACCCTCCCCTCGGTATGTATTTGAAATCCTGTTGTATACAAACTGAAAAATGTAAAAAATGAAGTCTACATTCTGTTTATGTGCACAATGCATTACTAATGTCGACAATCGTATATTCCAGGTCGTTTCGCCGTCCGTGACATGAGACAGACAGTGGCTGTTGGTGTCATCAAGGCTGTTGTGACCAAGGATGCTTCCGGAAAGACAACCAAGGCTGCAGAGAAGATCATCAAGAAGAAATGAATGGTCGTGCAGGACATCCAGCAACAAGAAGTGTGCCGGCAGCAGCGGGCCACTCCTTTCCCCCTGCCATGCCCTCACCCTATATCATCTTCTCTGTGGCAGATCTCGTTACTCAAGGACTGGCTTATGCTGATTAAAACCCATCGCAAAAGTTTTCGCAGGAAAAAGAACTAAATGGCATTGTCACTTACCTGAATCACATGACGGTGCCTCTTCTCAGTTAAGTTTAAGTTGGAAATGTTGTTCAAATGCCACAAATTTAATTGGAAAGAAAGCTGCTGGTAACTAATAAAAATAAATGTCTTTGAAAAAATTGAAATTGGCTTGTCTGCCCTTATTACATTATTGCAGGTGTTGTAGATTTCGGCTGCCTCTGTCTGTGGTGCAGCTGTTTTTGACCATGCTATCTCTGTCTAGTGATGCACTTGCCAGCCAATCTCCTCGTAGGAATTATGCCACCCCAGCCAATGGCATCCCTTATTTTAGTCTGACAGCAACAAGAGCATGCACAGCCCTCCCTCTCCCCTAGTTCAGTATAAAAACTCGGGACGGATCACATACGGTCCTTTTTTGCCTACCCTACACTCTATATCAGGGAACGTCTTATTTGCTGGGTACAGGTTGGTGACACATCTTTTAATAAAAGCTTTACTGTATGCATGTCTTTGAAAAAATAGCAAGTGTTATTACATAGCAGGGAATTTGGAGTCATGTATACAAGCTTGATCCATGGCCAATTGGTCTGTCCTACAATCTTGCTCAACCTATTATATAAAAATGTTATCCAGGTACATACAAACGGGGTTAACATGCCAGCTCACCTATGTAAATCTTATTCAAACCTTTATCATATGGTTAAACACATTTATTCGACTATTTGTCTAAAGGGGCTTAAGGCATTAGGTGTACAAACTCCCTAATTGGAAAACTTGAGCTCTAAAATTGTCGGATATCATTCTGCCAGTCATTGTAGTCTTTTCTGTTTAACGTCATGAACGCGCACACTGCTGTGTCGGGAGCGCGCATGCATCAGTCGGTAACATGGCGGCTCTGCGCTCGCGGCACAACATGGAGGCTGAGCAGCCGGCACCGAGCACATGGCGCGTGACTCATCCAGTGCCTTTCCGGTGGCGTGCACGAGACGGAACTGATTTGTTCATGTCAAACATCCTAACATCCGCACTGAACGCATTACTCGACGTTTAATCGCCCTACACAGTTATATTATGCTTCAATACGTAACGACTGACGAGCTAACGTTAGCTAACTGGTTTAATATGCCGCAGAGATGAACCATGAGACGTTAAAAAAAAAAAATTAAAATGCGTGATGTGTCCCTACCATAGGGTCCCTACTGACGCTACTCAGATGTTCAAACTTGCATAGATATGTACTGTAACTACTCACAATGTTAAATTATTCATAGTATCTTTTAATGACAGTTAAAGTCCAGCAGTTCACTATAAAGTTGGCTAATTTATCTCACAGCCAATGACCTCACAGTGCTGCTCATACCATAAGTCTGACATATATTGCATAGTAGAGTCAACATAACTGTTTCCCATGTTTATAACCAGTAAATCAAAATGGGAAAGGAAAAGTTCCACATCAACATCGTGGTCATTGGCCATGTCGACTCCGGCAAGTCCACCACCACCGGCCACCTGATCTATAAGTGCGGAGGAATCGACAAGAGAACCATCGAGAAGTTCGAGAAGGAAGCCGCTGAGGTTGGTTTGTTGAAACACATGCCTTGATTATATGTTGTCACTAAACAAAACATAGCAAATCACAGATCTTCTATCATCAGATATGTAAGGGAAACGGGTGTGGTGGTGGATGACACTGCTCCCTGGTATTGCTTGGTTTAAACTGCCACCTACTGTTTAAACCTTTACAGTCTGTCTATGGTTTAAAACACATGCACTGTCCCCAGTGGCGTAACAAGGTTGTGATTGCCCCCAGTGCAAATATTGTTTTGGGCCCCATCGCCCCAAACATAAGCGCACGCTGATGCACTCACACACGCACGGACATACACTCTCTCTTGTCCTTTCTCTTTTGAGCGCCGCTCTTGTGCTTTGGTTTGCTGTACATTATAAATGCAAGCTATTACATTTTGTATAATGCTGCCGAACTTGCTGCTGCTAGCTACAGTACAGTACAGGTTGATTAAACGGTTCGCTCGTCACGCAAGGTATCACATGATATGAAAGCAGGGCCGGTTCTAGCCAATTTGATGCCCTAGGCGAGATTTTAGCCCCCCCCCCCCCATAGAAAATACTTTGAGCACACAATTACTAGAGACTAGATCTGGGGGTGCAACTCTAAACACCCATATGAAAAAGATCGGTTTACATTTTAATAATCAAATAAGTGTGCCATATCCAATAACAAATAAATGTAACTTATTTCATTTTTGTTGTTCATTCATATCTTATTTTACCTAGTTAACATTTATTTAGTAATGCTTTTTTTTTTATCTCCAGTTTTAAACTATATTTTTGGTTTACTGTCCTACATTGGAATGATTTCAAACCTGTTTATCCCAATAATTATAAAGTGCCTTGGAAAATGTGTTTACATAAATTGTGATCAAAACCTTTGAGACCCACTGAGATAACTTTGACTAAAGTTAACTATCTAAACACTGAGAGAGTCCTTTACCTCACTGAGCTGTAGTTATCAGGCTCTCAGTCTGTCAGGAAAGAGCTCCCCTCCACCATTGTTGCAGAAACATCTTCTTTTTATATCAGTTAGCGCAGCTAGCACCAGATGCTAATAACAACAGCGCCCACTTATCGTACAGGGCAAATGAAAGGTGTAACCGGGGTGAAAAGGTTGTTACCTCTACTTAATTATGAATGTTGTTACATCAGAGCCGAAAATTAGGATGAGCCCCAACGGTCAAAAATGTTTTTTCCCCTCCCAGAGCTGCCAGCGCAGCGAACCACCCCCCCATTTGGCCAGGAAAGGGAGCATGGTTATTGGAGAGACAAATTACAAATTAATTTAGGTTGCTTGGTTTCTTTGAAGACTGCGTGAACTGGTCAATGTGGTTAAATATATATACAAAATTTAAAAAAATGTGCATGGGCCCCTGGCTGGCTCTGGGCCCCGGTGCATTGCACAAACTGCACCGTCTATAGTTACGCCACTGACTTTCCCCAATTACTGTAAGTATCAGTAATGTGTTGACATCTTGGCAAATATTACTTGCAAAGCTTTCATGGGTAATACAGCTATCTGAAAACTAGCCCCAAATGATCATTGAAATACGTATTTAGTATGCACATAATATTCTAATAGATACCAATTTATTAAAAACTGGAATTAAATCAATCTGAGCGATTTTATTCACTAAACTAGAGCGAAATCCCAAATGCAATGTTTAATCTACTGTATGTCAAGTTGTACGTTTAAATTTAGTTTAAACAGGTTTTGAATGAAGACATTGTTAAATGTTTAACCTTTTTTTAAGTGAATATTGTAAAAGAAAACAATGAGATGTGGTAGAGTTTAAAAGGAACATTGGAAAAGTATATGCTTCGAGAAAGGGGAGTCAGAATGAAAATTAGGAACAGGTAATAAACTTGAATAAATGTTACAAAATTGGCATTCAATTTTGGTGCTAATGTTTCCTATTATTTTTAATATTAAATGATATAAATCAGCAAACATACCAAATTATATTTTAGGAAAATACCTTTTATTTTTTTTTTATTTGATGCATTTTGCAATTTGGCATATCTTGTTTAATTAAGGAATAAAACATTTAATGGTCACCAAACAGAGGTATCAAAAAACAATCAAAATATGATATTGCTACTTTAAGTTAGTCTTGAATAATAACTGAATTACATCTGGTAATGACACTGAGCAACTTTTTTGAAAAACTTTATAGTTCAGTGTTGAACTTGTCTGGCTGATACCCACTTATATTTCATTATACATCCTGTTTTTTCTTTGTTGTTTTAACCACAACAGATGGGCAAGGGCTCCTTCAAGTACGCCTGGGTGTTGGACAAACTGAAGGCAGAGCGGGAGCGTGGTATCACCATCGACATCGCTCTGTGGAAGTTTGAGACTGCCAAGTACTACGTGACCATCATTGATGCCCCTGGACACAGGGATTTCATCAAGAACATGATCACTGGTACCTCTCAGGTGAAGTAGACACACTTTTCAATGTTGTCTCAATTGGTTATACTATTTGTATGTACACGCATTTTTTACAAGGCCTCCCTCTTCAGGCTGACTGCGCTGTGCTGATCGTTGCTGCCGGTGTTGGTGAGTTTGAGGCCGGTATCTCCAAGAACGGCCAGACCCGTGAGCACGCCCTGCTGGCCTACACCCTCGGTGTCAAGCAGCTCATCGTAGGAGTCAACAAGATGGACTCTACCGAGCCCCCTTACAGCCAGAAGCGCTATGAGGAGATCACTAAGGAAGTGAGCACTTACATCAAGAAGATCGGCTACAACCCAGCCACGGTCAGCTTCGTCCCAATCTCTGGATGGCACGGAGACAACATGCTGGAGGCCAGTGAAAAGGTGAGGAACATACAAAGCTCAAGTTGTCTGGTTGGTAGGTGGACAACTTGTCTCACGTCAACTTACTTTAAATTATTCCATCACACATCTGTGACACTAACTCAGATTTATATAATTTATGCCTAAAGGTAATAAAGGGGATACCTCTTATAGTGATCAAGGTTATACTGTAGAATTAACCCACTTTTATGGGTCGAAAAGCTTGTGACAAAATCATGTCTATACCAATGCTGTCTAAATTATATCATAATGGGTTTGAATTTATGTATATTATATTATTACTCGTTTATTTTTAGGCCAGTTAAAATTATACTATTGGAGCTTTAACCTTACTATAATTGATCTGAGGTAAAACTATATTATACAGTACTGTAGTATATTATTCTATATTTGAAATATCCACAGTACAGTAATTTAATTTGTTCTAGTTTGAGAAATGTTTGAACCACAAATAATAAAAGTCAGTAAATAGCGGTGCTTTGTATTTAGGTAATAAATATACATTTTTCAATGAGATGGTAATTTGCATGAGAAATAAATAAAAAGCAAAAATTTGGTTATAATAATTACCCTCTTAAAATGATGGATTTCCCCCGGACACACGTAGTCACTATGAGAAGTTTCAACTATATGCCTTAGATTATTTATTTATTTTTTACCAAAAATAATCCTTTATTTAGACTCTTCCTGTCTTTTTGCCTCTCTCTCTGGGCACCCTCCATTTTTAGATGAGCTGGTTTAAGGGCTGGAAGGTCGAGCGTAAGGAGGGCGGGGCCAGTGGCACCACGTTGCTGGAGGCTCTGGACTCCATCCTGCCCCCCGCCCGCCCCACAGACAAGCCCCTGCGTCTGCCCCTGCAGGACGTCTACAAAATTGGCGGTAAGGAGTGTGATTTCATTACAGGTTACAGTTAAGAAGGCAACATTATGTCATAGAAAGGCACACTACTTTCTCATAACTACCCATTAACAAAAACAGACTAGCCTCATATAACACTTTAAAGCCCCTTCAAATGTGCACTGTAACTGTACGTAAATGTGATTTAACATGTCGATCTCATGTGTGAATATGAACACAACAAGTAAGCCGATTGATGGTAAAAGAGTTTTAAAAAATAACGCTTCAATCGCTATTATATACCAATCAGCACTCTTTCTCTAGTTTATGAATATCCAATCAGAACCTTTATCATAGAGCATCTGAGCTAATGACATCCCCTCATTGGGTCTTTTGGACATTATAAAATATGCAGCACCATTTTCTTTGCAATTAATGAAATAGATAAGAAGTATTTGATAAGGGGCAGAATGAGCCTCGCTGCTTCCAACAATGATCACAAAGAGAGGGAAAAAAGGGATTTTTAAACGTCACTGCGACAGAGCAGAAAGCACTCCTCTTCCTCTTTACCATTGGCTTCCTGCTCACTGCACTTTTCCAGGAGTCACCACTCCTACCTACGTTCTAAATATCTCCAAACATCAAGGGAGCATTAAGGCTCTGTAACCATTTCATGTCTGAATGAAGCAGGAAGTGACATTTATGCACAGACATTGCCCGAATGTCAAAAAAGGCATTCATTCAACAGACTGCAGTGTCACACTTTTCTATCTGAAAAGGGTTTCATTTACCTATCAAAACAAAACACAGAGCTTCGCAACCAACATTTGTACATACGAGTCAATGCTAACTTAAATAAAAGGAGATCTGGACTGAAACCCGGCTGCAAAAAATCCAACCAAACAAAGAAGAACAGAGAAAAGTTGCTTACCTGAGTGTGGCACCATCAACAGTAACAGCAGCAGCAGCTTGTGGTGAAATTGGAGACTCTTGAGTGAGCTGTCACAACCTAGATCCAGCCTCTGATATCTGCTCTGTGGGAGTGGATCCAGACAGCTAAGACAGGCCTATCACAGAGATGAAACTGGATCTTTTGGATAGTATCTGTGTATAATTAAAATACTCCTTCACCTTGGATGTTTTAACACTGTTGTTAATTTACTCTATTCTGTGCCAGAGAAATACTGACTTGGTGTTCATTTAGTCAGCTTTCTTTTAATTTAGTCTTAGTCCTGGGTCAAATGTCTCCGGTAGTTTTTTATAGTTTTTGGTCCACCTTTATACATTTTTTAGGATCGAGTGTTAGTTGACTACAAGTCTGGGAATGGAGCGGAAACGGTTTTGGTTTTAGTCAATGAGAACTCTGGACAAGCCTTTTCTTGTTGATTATATTGAGAAATGCAGCCCATGAGCCAATATATAACCATGTCTCTGTGTCTGGGTCACTGGTGTTAAAGTCTCCCGACTGTTCTTAATGTTTGCTGCCTGTGTAGTGCATAGACTGTTTAAATAATGGATGTAGTTCTGATGTGGCACTCAACAGCACAAGAAACGATGAATGCAAACATTAGAAATATTTTTTCTCCAACATAATCTGCTGTTCTGACTTTTTAATTTTTTTAATAAATTGTCCATCTTTCCTCTTTTTCTGTCAACAATATTGCATGTTGATATGGTCACAGTTAGGCCTAATGACTTTGGCAAATGTGTTCATAAAATTTTTGTGGATAACTAATCATAGCAATTTGTTTATGAAGTTATAACAGCCTAACAGAGGCTTTTTCACTACATTTTCGATTTTTTTCTTTGCTGTCAAAAATATTCCATGTAGATATGGTCACAGTTTGGATTTTATGACATTTTTGCTGTTTGACATCGACTCTTATTACCCACCAAAATAGTTTGTTGGATAACATATTTGGAGATTACTAGTCATAGTTATTTGTTAATTAAGTTAATAGTGTTTAGCATCTGTGTTCGGGCGGACACGATGACACCCTATCCGTTTTTAAGAGTGCGCTTAAGACCTTCCTTTTTGATAAAGCTTATAGTTAGGGCTGATTAGATTCAGCCCTTAGTTTTGCTGCTATAAGCTTAGACTGTCGGGGGACACCTTCTTCCTTCTCTCTGTCTCTGTGTACTCTCATGTTCCGAATAACCCAGCTTCCCCCAAATTTATTTTTGGTGTTTATTTACGCTGGGATCCTGAGTCGTGGCTGATCCTGTTGCTGTGGTCCTGGATCATAATTCCTGGATGGATATCCTCGTGGATTCATCTTCTTATTATACACACATGCATTTCCAAACATTTGGACTACCTATGTTGTAAATGTATTATCTTTTCGATTTACACACGGCATCTATTGCACGTCTGTCCGTCCTGGGAGAGGGATCCCTCCTCTGTTGCTCTCCCTGAGGTTTCTCCCATTTTTCCCTTTAAACTGTGGGGTTTCTCTGGAAGTTTTTCCTTGTACGATGTGAGGGTCTAAGGACAGAGGGTGTCGTATTGTCATACTGATATTCTGCACAAACTGTGAAGTCCACTGAGACAAATGTAAAATGTGTGATATTGGGCTATATAAATAAACATTGATAAAACCAGGATCATTGATTGAACTAAATCACAGCTCACACTCTTGCATCCAAAGATTCAGCTTATTCTAATGCAAGTTATTTTACTTTGGAGGAAACTGAAACGTCCCCTGCTCTCCCAGGTATTGGAACAGTACCCGTAGGCCGTGTGGAGACCGGCATCCTGAAGCCCGGCATGATCGTCACCTTTGCGCCCCCCAACCTGACCACTGAGGTGAAGTCTGTGGAGATGCACCACGAGACTCTCACTGAAGCTCTCCCTGGTGATAACGTTGGCTTCAACATCAAAAACGTGTCCGTCAAGGAAATCCGCCGTGGAAACGTGGCTGGAGACAGCAAGAACGACCCACCCATGGCCGCAGACAACTTCACCGCCCAAGTGAGTGTTCGTTTTTACATAAATTGAACTCATATTACGTAAATATACTCATATTTATCCCCAAGTGAGTTATTCGTTTAATATACAGTTTAAAGAGACAGTGACAAAGCAGAATAACAGACATTTCTTGCCTGATGTCAGAAAGAATTGTCAGCCCAGAGTAGAGGGCGTATTCAAAGTTCTGGACCCAGTCAAAGACATTTCTTGAAATGTGCCAATTCTCATGGCAGATTTAGATTACACTCTCTAGGCAGATGTTATGACAGCAAAAAAAATACAAATCAAGCATGTGGATTTTTTACAAAATCCTTACTATTAATAAAATGTACATACATACTCCCCTCATCAAGTCACGATAATAAGAGTGTGCTGAAGACGTTCCTGTTTTAAGAAAGCATAACGTTAAAGCTGCTTCAAGATTACTCTATGTTTATCCTCCTGAGTCCTACATCTTATGGTATTTTATTTATTATTTGTATTTTATTTGGTTTTATTTTTATCTATTTTATTTGTATTTCACGTTCTACTTTGTCTTTTTATTATTTTCTTGTAATATTATTTAGCTCCTAACACTGTCATCTATGTTTGTTAACCTGCAAAGCCCACTGAGACAAACATATTTTGTGATATTGGGCTATATAAATATACACTTTGCATGAACTCTTTGTGGAAGCGTTTAAAACAACCCAAATTGTTGGTCGTAAACTGAGTGGGATGCTAAGTTTTAAATCTAGCTAATCGTAACGTGAAGGTGTACTTAACCAATTTTGGTGAAAAGATGTATATCCCCTATATTTATGCATCATAATGTACATTGAACCAGACTACTTAGTGACACTGTTATAGTGGACAGTCTATCTTCATCCACTCTTCTTGGAGAACAGCTCATTGGATGTGTCTCCTTTAACCTCTGTCCCTCTGCAGGTCATCATCCTGAACCACCCCGGGCAGATCTCCCAGGGTTACGCCCCCGTGCTGGACTGCCACACCTCTCACATTGCCTGCAAGTTCAGCGAGCTCAAGGAGAAGATCGACCGTCGATCCGGCAAGAAGCTTGAGGACAACCCCAAGGCTCTGAAGTCTGGAGACGCCGCCATCATCACCATGGTGCCTGGAAAACCTATGTGTGTTGAGAGCTTCTCCCAGTATCCGCCTCTGGGTGAGTGACTCACTCCTATGATTCCTCGATGTATACATGGTTATCAATGCAGACATTTTGCCGCCCCTGTAGCTGCTTACGTCAATGACGGTTACACCCTAACAGATGTTAAGGACCTGCAGAACGGGTCACACATGCTACAACAATTCAAAACTTCACTGTGAGACAAGGTCTAATTAAAGCTGCAAATGGCTGAGTATAAAACCTCAGCAGCTTTATAGAAGCCAACTCCATGTCAGCTCTTACGACCTGCATTTCCGTCTATTAGTTTTTAATGTGCATTTCCTATTTACACATAAAACAAACTGAAGGGAAATGCTGAAATATAGGAAAAGAATAATTCAAAGTTTTTCTTCTAAAAATGTTTGGTACTTTGTCTGAGGTGGAAAAGTGGGTGTAGGCTATTGACAAAAGCAAAAGTGTGAAGGAAACATATTAACCATCCACTTAAAGGTGGGGTAGGTAATTCACTTCAGAAACACTTTTTGTTATATTCCATGGAATGCTCTGAATCCATTAAATGCTTTGACAATAAATACAAAAATGTCATCTGTGGAAGCCGTAGTACTGTAAAAAGCACGACCAATCATTTTAGCCGGCCCGGCTAAAATAAATGGATGGCCTACCTGCCTGTCAGCCTTCCATCTCGTGCACAAACTTATCTCGTATTCTCATTGGTCATGTGCGCGTTTGTGTGTGTTGGAGGAGTTTCTCCATTCTTACCTACCCTACCTTTAAGCTTCAGAATCTCTCAGAGACTAAAGATCTTCCACTTATTACTCCACACAGATCTATTATGTTACCTTCCTAAAATAGTACATAGAATTTGAATCGTGCCCTCCTCCTCTACAATGGTATAATGCTTCTCTGACTGGAGGAGAACCGCCATCTACTTTTCTCAATGAACCAACTCCTAGTCTCATTACAGCGGTCAATGAGAACAAGCAATTGCCAATATCTCTTATATTTATGTATGCTTCCTCCCTAACATTAAAAAAAAGGACAGACAGACCGAGACAAGCTTGGGAACATAGTGGAGCAATTTGCAGCTATAAAGCCAATTATTTCCCCCAGGAGCTGGTGAAGACCGAAAACAGAGAAAAAATTCAGTAAATACTTACCATTCATCAGGTGGACAGAAACACAACATCTATGATGAACTATTGTACACATTTTTACTATATCATCGTTTTGTTAGATGTTGTGCTGTAGAGGTTGTTTCCAAGTAGAAAAGCTTGAAATGCCTTCATGCACTCCAAGAAGTCTGACAGTCACTCAGAATCATGTTTGGAAGATTATTTGGATAAAGAGGTTGAATTGGCTCCTGTCACTTACAGTATTTCAGTATCACTATAATAAGGGAAAGACATTACGTTTTCTATAAGATTTGAATAATTGTTCAATCAATCATAATTGACATGGTTGAAGAGTAAGGAAATCATAAAAAATGTGCCTCCTTAGTACATATGCACAAGAATAGAGATTAACAGTTCCCAACCCTTTATTTTAAACAAATGTTATGATGCAGAATCTACGATTTTTGGAACGCATTAATACAAGTTCAGGGCATACATTGAAATTATATTGCTGTTCTGACTGTTTACCTTTATCATACTTTTCTACTGGCACTTTTGTGTTTACCTTTATTATAGTATGTTATGTTTATGGGAAGTTTTGGGGCCAAAGACTATATTTAGTACGATAAAGAAATGTTTTTGCTATATTGCAATATCTAAGAGAACAGCTTTATCAATCGTCAAAGTCACCACCCCGTAAATGGGCCCTATTAGGCTTTTTTGAGTTTTATTTTCCTGTAGTGTGTTATTACGGTTTTCGGTACAGGTAAATGTTCTGCAAAGGCTCCAGAGGGACTTTCTCCCTCACACTCCCCAATCCCCTGAAACGCCTCAATTGGACTCCTTTTTACTTCCGTAACATAATGGAATCACTATGCAACACTCACTCTTCTATTGGCTGGTGCTCCAACACATTGCACATGATAGACTATGGGGCGGGACATCTCTAAACGGTTGACCAATCACAACAGAGCCTGCCAGCTAGTTTTTTTCTTAGCTATAATGAAATAGACGGAAAAAACCC